ATACTATTTCGGCTTTTAATACTAAACAAAGGCGGATCCTACGGAATCCTTTTAGGGCCATTTATTTTTTTATTTTTTTCTTGAAATTTCAATGCGCCGCCAATGCCTCGCCTGTATCAAAGCAAATGGTGGTCACACCCGATATTATGCTAATGATTTCAATAACATAACATTTACACCGCAGTGACTTTTTACCGTTGGTAACTGAGCAATTTTCTTAGTGTAGTAATATTTAACTGTTAGCTTCCATCGTAAAATGCAAGATAGCAGAAAAATGGTATTTGGACGTTTCATCAAATGTGCCGGAACTGCCAATGAGCCCGACGGTATTTAAATTCCGTCTCACGATCCAAGGACAATTAGCTAACTGGAGTCAAAACCTTGCATACAAAACCATAACTTTTGTAGTGAATCAGTCGTTTATGTGAAGTTTTATGGAGTGAATCTGATTCTCGAATTTGACCCCAACTTATAAACAACATATCACCAAGAAAGCGATCTTAGCGCTAAGATGATCGTAACTCCTATACTACCGTAACATAGGCTTACGACAGTCTTAGCGTTAAGATCGCTTTGTGCAAGTGGGCACTGGAAACTCATTAAACTTGGCTGTTTAGTACAACATCAGTTGACAAGCTTGGATAACAGATACTGCTTCTATGACGCAGGGAATTTAAAAAAAAAATGTTTTTCTTATTGTCAATACAAATAACTGAGGCGCAGCATTTGAAGGCGCGCATATCCTGGTGAAACAGTTCCTTATTTTATTAGCCTCATCACACGATCACGTGAACTCTCAACGGTCTGTAACAGTGTGACCCAGGTCAGAGGATGCGCTCGTGGTATCGCAGATTATTATTTTAAAAAAGAAATTGTTTTAAAAATGGCTATACAGACTATTACTACTTCCCTTGATTTAAGGTATGTGTTGAGTCCTGCCTGGAGAAGGTCATCTGGTAGAGATATTCCAAGCAAAGGCACATACACTTTTATAATTTAATCTAGAGATTCCGGTGAAGTCCGGGTCCCCAGTGTTATAAGTACCAGTTACGACATATGACCTTGTGGAAAAACCCTATGAGGCTAAAAATAGCACAACATGTAAGCCTCCTTTTGGGACTTAGTTGTCAAACATCTAGTCTCTGCAATGAACATATTTTACAGATAAAAGCAATTATTTTAATTATTAAAATAGAGTAAACACGAGCCACTACAGTTTCAGATACTGTAGTAATCTAGACTTGTCAAATATTATAGACTTGCATGGGCTGTATTGGATATATTTGTTTCAGGGTCTGTGTAACAGACTCGGGACTTAGCGGCGCGTGGGTTGAGCGCTCGATGACAAATATGTACAGTGTATTGTGAACAAATCTCGGGACAATTGACAATTGGAACACTGTGTTTGTCCCTTTTTTATGTATATCGAGGCAGCAGTAAAATAACAACTTCAAGGCCAAGACGTGAATTGGACACGATCTTGAAGTCGTTGAAGTCGTTTCAAATCAAGATCGTTGATCGTCTTGCCCTTCAGTGCATCCTCTATTATCCTACGGGTCATATCGTTATGGGGGGCATAGGGGTCCAAGTCTTCTAGGGCGCCACAATTTGCTGTACAGAGTTGTGTCCCTTTGTACATGCCAGAAACCTATGGTTGTGGGTTCGAATCCCGGTTCGCCCCGATTTTTCGAGGGTTGTCAGCACCATACCCGTGCTCCATCTTCCCGAGGCAAGAGAGTTAACTGACTTTAAAAGTCCAGTTTCCACCCTTGCCGAACTTGGCTGGAATTCCTGGGCTCGATCGTAGCGCCACCGGTGGTTATTACGAGTTATGTCCCTTCTAAGCCTCTCCTATGGGCCAATCAGATTCCACCTCTCGTATCACTTGCATTTGTTTCAAATTAAATGGCGGCGCTCAGTCAAGACGATCTGGTCGATAATCAAGATCTATATTGTGATAAAACGGGTCTTACATCTCAAAATGCATCAAATCACATGAGCACCTTGATTAAAAACATGAAAAGACTTGAAAAATATCTGTTGACAACGTGTTGGCGATGCACATGTTTTGCAAATCCTGCAATCGACCGAAATCTGCACGAAAGTTTACGAACCGGATTTCGATTTCGTTGCGCGATTTTGATTGGACTATGCATAGACTCGTTACTCTAACTCCATAATACCAGCCGTGTTCGGCAAGGGTGGAAACTAGACTTTTATAGCCAGTTTACTCTCTTGCCTCGGGAAGATGACCCGTGCTCGTGCCCAAAGTGGTAAACGTCTGATGTGACCAGTAATAAGATGTCCTAAGATCTTTGTTTAGCGGTCGCGAGAACTAAGATCTGATTTTAATGTGGTCGGACTTTTAGGTGCCTCCACAAATGCAACCGGCATGTCTTTTAGCTAAAGGACCTCCCCCGTCTTAGTACTCAGGAAAACATTATTAATAACAATCTTGCGATTCGTTTAAATTCATCGAGGGAGTCATTCGTCACCACTCGCCCCTTTCCCTCACCTACAAGCAGTTTGTCCCGAAAAACCACGAGTTGGTCACGAATGCGAGGGATGGCGCGGAGGGGGCCGCGACTTTGAAGGTCGATCTATGCCGAACTCGCTTTCAGAAGAGGCATTTGGATTGGTTGTTGATTTCAAGCTCATGAGCGAGAGAAATTCTGCGCAAAGTTTGCAATGAGAGATATGGAACTTCTGACGTTACTTCCAAACCAGAAGCCATGGTGGCGAATGGGTACAGGGTATTGATCATAATAGAATGAAGGTACCATTCATTGGATACTCGAGGATGCATTCCTTTGGGATACATTGTGTTAAAAAACAAATGTATATACGTGTATGAATACTCCTTTGGATGTCAGTGTGACTCTGTGATTATCTTTTTTTTTTAAAACGTGGAACCCATTAAGTCGGAATGCTGTTTATCGGTTGCAAAAACAAAGTAAGAAGTAAAAAGAGGCAAAATAAGAAAAAAAGAAAAAAGAGGCCGGAAATCTGTAGATACAGAGGAAGTCTGTTTCAAGGCTACCTTTTCTGCCGTTGTGTCACGTTCACGTTCATACCAACGTCCCCAGTGACAGTGTTACGAGATGTTTCAGGTGTTATGAGGAGGCTCAATGTATCACTGCCGACGATCGTGTACAGTCTGTCTCACACTCCCTGAACCACATTATGTTCCCTTCCTCCCAGCCCTTACTGTATTGCTTTGGACCTCATGAAGCAAGTCTAGATTTCCGACAGGTTCTGAATCTCACATCTCACGGGGCTCCTTTTCAATATAAATGTATTTGTTGTTCGTAAAGCCACACTCGCTCCATTGCCCTCTTCCTCGTCTCCATGCCACTGATGGATAAACACATCGTACCCATGTAAAACTGTATTATTTAAGTGAGAACAGTAATATCCAATTACAGAGCAACTCTTAGAATAAATTAAGTTTTGAAGGTGTATCTACATTAATGGATTTTTTATGATTAAAGCGTAGCATCATTCATAGTACTTTGATAACCTTCATTTCGAATTGACATTCATTAAACAAACGTATGCTGTGTGTAGATCGTCAAAATGATATAAATCATCAAAATAATATATCACCCAAATCAAACACATAAAATATTAAATTTTCACATTTAAATGATATATTCCTACCATTATTTATTACACGCTTCATTATATTAAGTAGAATGTGCCGAGTGAAGGAAATCTCTACCTTGCTATATAGACAGATAAGACTATGCTCTTAGTAATTTGACATACCCTGAAGATTCTTCAGCGAAATGAAAGAATTGAAGACGGACACAAAACTAAGACACGACATCACAGTGACTATGTCAAGGTGAGCTAAGAAAAACCAGAGTGCATCCACATGAATGTCTATAGCGTATCTGCCGTGGACCCGTTATATATGACTCACTTTCTGAAGGTCCCTATATAGATAAGATAACGGCAACAGGTAAATACCGGTACACACTTGTTTAATAACTACAACAATTAAGATATTTAGGAAAATGCTCGGCTGATATTTTGCGATTTATATTTGTAAAAGTTATATTTAAATAAAATAGATGTATATACAGTTACGCACTTACACTTCTTCATACTGGGTTTATACGATTATTTGACACTAACATCGTTCAAGTCATTGACACACTGTATGAAAACACTGGTGTTAGTGAAACGAGAAATAAAATAAATGCAGACTTGCATCACTTCAGCGAACAAGAAACCTGTGACTCAAAACATCCTACCGCGCTGATTATGTCTCTATATGTTTGTCAGCATCATACCCGTGCTCGTAAGTTTCATAAAAATGGTCAGCGCCTAAGACGTGCATCACTCGGATGATTAAAAACATACATGTAAAAATTTAGAAGTATCTATATAGATCTTCTTAATATCGTTAATATAGTTCTAACATGAGAAGACCGTGGATAGAGCGACTTTCGGGACGGTTGTGGGTTCAATAACCGGCTGCATCATACGAAAATACCTTCAAATATGGTACTTGTTGTTACCCTGCCTGGTGCCCGGCATTAAGGGCTAAAACAAGGACTGTACGGCTCGAAGTCAGTATACTGTGTCTGAGTGTGGTATCAGGGTTAAACTGCGGCATGGCATTTCAATGGGCTTGCACTGTAAAATCGGCGTTAGTCCGGACTAGTACAAGCACACACACACACACACACACACACACGCACACACACGCACAAGTGCATGCACGCCGCTATATAAGCCTAATTATCTCGAACGCGACGTTAAAATTAAATGTTTTAACATCAATCGTGACGGTAACGTCGAAAGAAGATCGATATTTATTAAGCAATTGAACAGTTTGAAAAGATATTTCTTAACTCGGCTTTGAAAATATAAACAAATTGACAGCCGCCTAAATACAACACAGCCGGCTGTCAGTGGCAAGCACAAATCGACTTCTGACTCGCCTATCATTTGTAGCAGACGACGCTCTTGCCCTCACGTGGTCTAATCAGTATCACGTGATCTCCAGCACGATGAAAGCCAGCGTGTGATGTGCATGTCGAAGGTTATGCGGTACATACAGGTGATGTGTTTGAAGCGGTAACTTCATGAAGTTTAACTATGGAATCATATGAAGTGGACGTTGTAATTGTTGGGGGCGGTCTGTCAGGACTGTCAGCAGCGTTTTATTTACTGAAGAAGGACCGAGGTCTAAAAATATGTCTTCTCGAAGCCAAGGGTGAGTTACCGGCGTTTCGATGATCATGTTATAACGAGGGTACGTTGTTAATTTCGTTAAATTCACCTCATTATTTTTCTGACGCTGATTCAGTGAAACAATGGAAAAATTATCTCCAACTCATTCATTTGTATGACCTATAAATAAAACGACCTTGGCTGTCGAACCATGCAGAAGTGTTACCGTATTAGCGGTATAACGAGACAGACAGTATGAGCTGAGAATCACGTAGTCGTCCTGTTCTGACAGCATCGGGTTCATCAAAAGCAGTTGATGCGACTGTTTGGGGCCACCTCCTCTGCCATGCCCACAAAGAATTGTATACACAGATTATTAACTGTGTCACGAGAAATTAGATTTAGCTTCCATCTGGTTATGTATTCATGATTTCTTATCTAAAAGCTAGATAAAGCTGGAATCGATTCTGTTAAACTCTGTGAATGAATGGGTCACAGTGACTCAATATTCAAGGAAATTATAATTCTACATGTTTCGACTGCAAATAGTGTACAATCTGGTGATAGCAACTGCCCTTAAACACCTATTATCATCGATTGTTCGAGCAGTTTTATAAATAAAGCATAAAGAGACTCGTTTTAGCTTCAAAGCTAAATATGAAAACGTTTCATTCGAATTAAATCAGAATTTGCTGTGATTTGAACACATTTATGTATATTTATGTATACACTGCTATTTTTAGAACCGTGTGTAAGTTGTTCCTCACATGTTGGCTTATCATCGATAAGATCAAGGTATCTCAAGATACTATCCAAGGCGTACTCTATTTAACTTTCATATACATACTGTAATATTTACATAGCATTGTTGGAATCCGGTTATATTTACAGTGGAGAGGAGCAATCATCTATACACGTGACATGTTTTGTTCTGGTTAAAAGGAGACATTGACACCAAACAAATTAAAATTAATATTTTCTAGGTCATGTTAGTTGACTTGAATTGAAAGCTATGGAAAACACTTTGGTTGGTATGTACGCATCATCTCTCTTCAGAATTTAAAAAAATCTCTATTATCTGAAGCGTCGCAATTCGATGTTAAGTGTTCCGCCCTTAAGTTGTCGAATGACATTTCGGTTGTCATGGTTTTGATTCCTAGATTCGTACTGATAACAACACTTGTCCAATCAGACCGAAACCAGATTTGGGTTTAAAACACGGATACAGCGTTTTGGATAAGGAGGGTGCGTTTTGTGATTTGGCAATCTTCGTTTAATAATCATGTAATTTTGTTAATAAAGCGGTAAATGTATGCGCGTTGAGTGAGTGTGTGATTATGGTTTTACGCCGCTTTTTGCAATGTTCCAGCAAGTCCACCACAGAAATTGGTGGGCGAATGCTTCAACCACTAGGATATCCCACCGCGCCCTGCACCACTTTGAGATTTCCTCCCATAGGAGGCTACCATGCCTTGTTACGTGCTGCACAAACTGTGATCTGCGGACGTAGATCGTTGATGATGCACATGTTGCCAGAGCATGTAAGGAAAAATCTGCATTACGCAATGGTTGAACAGCTGTTGACAGCCATGCAATAATGACTGCAGACAAGCTGTTTTCTGTGAAAATGGACTTTCTGATAATATTACCGGATACCTACGTCATGGTAGAAGCAAGATGTCGGTAAAGCACGTATACCTAGCCAGTTAAACCCGTGAAGAGCCGGATTAGAATCATCTTCCCCAGGCAAGAGAGTTAACGGACTTTACAAATCCAGTTTCCACGCTTGCCGAACAAGGCTGGAATTTCTGGGCTCGATCGTCGCGCCACCAGTGGCTATTACGAGTGATGTCCCTTCTATGCCTCTCCTATGGACAATCAGATTCGACCTCTCGTATCACTTGCATTTGATTCAAACAAAATGGCGGCGCCCAGTCAGGACGATCTGGTAGATAATCAAGATCTAAACTGTGATAAAACGAGTCTTACATCGCGAAGTGCATCAAATTACGCCAGCACCTTGATTAAAACCATGAAAAGATTTGGAAAGTATCTGTTGACAATGAGTTGGCGGTGCACATGTTTTGCAAATCCTGCAATTGACCGAAATCTACATGACAATTTACGAACCGGATTTCGATTTCCTTGCGCGATTTTGATTGGACTATGCATAGACTCGTTAGTCCAGCCAAAATCTAGTTCGGCAAGGGTGGAAACTGGACTTTTATAGTCAGTTAACTGTCATCGTATCCCAATTGCATGGATCGATGCTGATGATGTCAATCACTGGGTTGTCTGGTCCAGACTATTCTTTACAGACCACAGTCATATAAATGGAATATTGCTGAGTGCGGCGTTAAACAACAAAACCAAACCTAGCCAGTGAAGAGATGCAGGGAACATGCGGTGCTGGTGTCAGCCGCTGCTCCGTCACAACCACGTTACAACTACGCTTATAGGCACCGACTTTCTATTTTATCGGTTTACGAACTTTGGGCCAAATAATCAGATCGGTAGGTCGAACGAAATCGATATGAAAATTCCATTTTCATATGCTGTTTTTATTTCCTCAGAAGTATGTTGGATATGACGCATTGAGTTACTTCCCTTCTGTTATAGGCAAGGATCTGTCGCGATTCGTCATAATTCGTTTTTCGAAGTAAAATGTATTGTCAACAGATTTTAATGTTATTTCGAATAATACATATACTAGTATACAATTATTACAATATAATGTATATTTATTTTGATAGCGTCAGTAAATGAGTTTTTTTAAACATTCTACTTTCTTGCCGGAATACAAAACCCCACTGCTTTTCATTTTTATTTTAAAATTATACATTTTCATGTTTTGGAGTCGGCAGATTCGTAAACCAAGTTCTAAAAAAGTCATGATCAGGCCTTATGGCAAGGTTGAGTCTCATAAGTATGCGCTGAAGGTATTCATACAATAGATTCACTTCTATAACACTATTAATTATGCTCTATATCGTATGTAGGTCAGCCCTACCTTGACAGGTATATCGGGGTTACCCTACTTTTAATGTTGAGTCTGTGCGAAGAATGGTTAATGTTCGTGTGCACGCCGAAACCAATGTTCGGGCGTCTCAGTGATTCGCTGTGGGAAGTTCATTCCGAGGCCCCACTGATATATTGCTGCAGTAATTCTGAAACCAGTTGGACGCTTTTGTTAGGTTACACAATTGTTATTATACTTAACAGTCTTCTCGGTGTGTGCAGAGACAGAATGCATGCTTTGAATGAGTTAATTGAGCAATAAATTGCTTGTCTAAGAAGACCCAAGTACGTCCATGTGGTAACAGTCGACTCAAAAAGGGGGAGCAGATCGTTGCGTGTGTGATTTGGCAGAGTTTATCCGATGGCTTGGTCAAGCCAGTACCACTGGTTCGACTGGCCTAGGCCAGCTACAGGCCGTTATGGTGGACTTGTAATGTTGCTGACTGCCGCAGACTATATTCACTCACATACTCACTATCACGTGTTGCATGCGTAATATCACTTAAATACAAGTAACAAGGACTTAAACTTAAGCCCCATTCACATTTTACTCATGTAAGCAAATTTACTTATGGGGTATATTTACTAATGTAAGCGAAAGTGTCCATGTGAATGGGGCTTTAGACTAACATTTAGTCTATGACATGAAAAATGAAAATATTGTAAGATGTAATTTTTGGAAAGGACGTATTTTTTTGTAATGAGCCAAGAGATATATGTATGTGTCTTTGTTAATATGAGTGCGGTTTTCTTGAACTTCCTTTGAGTAGTTTATATAATATACTGAACCACAAAAGAAACGTCGCCATGGATAGATATGAGAAACCTTAATTGTCCAAACACTGTAAACATACTTTGAGACATATTAAAAAGATGAAACCTGGCAAAACAGATCATCAAGGTTGAAATTAAAGTGTCAAATGTTCTTAAAGTGAAACACAACACTAGTCTCTGAGAGTGAGTGAGTGAGTTTGATTTTACGCCGCTTTTAGCAATATTTCAGCAATATCACGGCGGGGGACACCAGAAATGGGCTTCACACATTGTACCCATGTCGGGAATCGAACCCGGGTTTTCAGCGTGACGAGCGAACGCTTTAACTACCAGGCTACCCGACCGCCCCTTAGTCTCTGAGACAATGGCATCACAAGTGTTTCTCGTGTGTCCGCCATGTGCATTGACGTAACGTCGATACATGGAATGGATGAGGAGGCGGTTGATGAAGGCCATAGGCCCTTGAGCCCACACTCTGAGGAACGCCTGACGCAGTTCAGCTGCAGTTGCCGGCCTTGGTCGGACGTCATTCAGCCGTCTTTGAATATCGTCCCACAGGTGCTCAATGGGATTTAAATCGGGACTGAGGGCAGGCATGGTTCTGATGCCATTCTGCAGGATGAAGTCTCTTTTAGCTCTTGCAGTGTGGGCACGGGCGTTCTCTTGATGAAACTCGTGGTTGCGGCGACGTGCTAAATGAGGTATGGCGTGTAGTCTCAAGACTTAATCAATGTGCCGAGCTGCTGTGACACCATTGCCTCTCCCTGGACCGATGTTCTGGAAGACCACAGGGCCGACCATCTGTGCAAGACCAATTCCACCCCATGCCATGATGCTCGGACCAGCCCACGAATCTCTCTCAACAACACAAGCATCCGAATATCGTTCCCCACGGCGTCGCCAGACTCTCTGCTATCTGCTGTTGAGATACAGTAACGGCTCTCGTCTGAGAAGAGGACATTTCACCACTGCTGGTAGCGCTAACGCTGGTGCTGTGTTGCCCACTGAAGACGGTCCCGGCGATGACGTGATGTCAGAATGGGTCCTCGGTTTTGCCCGTGATAGTGGAGGTGCTCGTCAATCGTCGACGCAAGGTGTCCGCACTAATGTGTCGCTGGTGTGTCCCCATGGTCTGTCGAGCAGTTTCCGCAGCAGTAACAAAGCGATCTTAAAGATGCACAATCTGACGATCCTGACGTCGGGTGGTGACGCTTCGTCTTCCACAACGTGGTCGGTCATCTGTAGTGTTGGTGGTCATGGTACCATTGCTGGAGCCCTGTATGTGGTCCTTACGTGGACTTGAAATGCATTGGCTACTTGCCGGGTGGTTTGTCCAGCTTGCAATCGTCCAAGGGCTTGGTGTCGCTGATTTCTTGTCAATCTTGGCATGTGGTAACAATTCAATAACGAATGAATGTTATCCGATCTGGGCGGATTATTAAAGGGCAAGAAATGAGGGAACGCATGTGCATTTCAATTTTCACGGAACTCACGTGCATCGGGTAACCATGCGTTTGGGCGATCGGTTTTATTGTCATCTGCTTTATTTTATCATCAAATTTCATTTTTCCGGAAAAGGTAAATTAAACTTTAGAAACTTTGACAAAATGACCCTGCTATTTAAATGACAACTTTTCATGCAATGTTACATTGAGTGGCGTTTCTTTTGCGGTTCAGTATATATAGTTCTTTCATTCCTAGTAATAGAGGCACATTCGTCACCACTCGCCCCTTTCCGTAACTTGCAAGAAGACTTGTTCCCCTGTCGATGAATGTTATGTGCGAAAATACGACAAACCAATCAGAATGCGCATATGATTTCAAAAAATATACCCAAGACATAGTTAAATGTGTTCAGTCATACTGTATAATTCCGGATGTCCCACTGTGCTCTAAAGTGCATTTGAAATATATAAATATATGGGGAAATATATGTGAACGAATTGACAATTGTTTTAGGTATGCCCGTTTGCGCTAAGACGGAACCGGGTCGCAAAAATGGCACGAGTCGCTATTCGGCCTGTCCCGGAATAACACGAGTTGGTCACGAATGATAGAGGCAGTGTATCTCCGTGGGCAGGCACAAAAATATCGGCATTAGCACACACGCACGCACGCACGCACACACACACAATCACTTCGTTACAATATGAGTACAAAATATCCCAGGTTTTACCATTGCATACATCTACGGCCAGCGCCATGTTGGGCTTTCCCCCCACATTAGACATGCCTTAATAATTGGTGTAACAGAAATACTGTTTAAAGTGACGTTCAACTCAACTAACCCACTCATTATTGATATTGCCATTGCCAAAAAGTCTAAGATTGCACGTTTCTACGACCATATTCCTTTAAATGTGATATCTATGTTACTCCATTAAAGACATAATTGTATTGATATTTAGATGTACAAAGTAGAACAAATAATTCCTTTTTATGAGAATCAGGACATTATTCATGACACCCGTACCTCGCGTAACAAAAGGCCTATGATATCTTTGAGAGGCATTTAGAAGTTAGCGTATAAAGTAAGGAGATGATATAATCGATGAACGACTTCTTTATTACAATTAGGCATATGACGTAGTCGATAGAAAACCCGGTAGCAGTTTACTTTCTATGAAATAAAATATACGTTAATGATTAAGGAAGATATCGTCTTTAAAAAAATGTTTTATGATGTGAAGCCAATCGGAGATGTAGAGTGGGCTGTATATGCTTCAGAGCACATAGGCTCACCTTTCTGACGGGCCGATCCTTAACCCGGGAGTGACTATATAGAGCAGCTGATAAACGGGGCAGGTGATACGGTAACCGCAAAAGGAGAACAACAGCCTCATATACAATTACAGGCGGTGTATATCAGACTGATAGTAATCACATGTACAAACCGCTATATCACACTGACAGGTTTACGCGCTATGTTCCCTTCCGTTGCATAGACTGCTATTTGGGGGCTTGTTAATAGCCAAAACACCATACGGTCTGTTATCTCGATATGGACACGTTAGTACTGTACAGACACAATCATGTTTATTTCACAAGAAGATCATACAGTCCATGAGTACGTACACAGAGCCATTCTGCACAGCTCACAAATCAGCTGAAGTTAAGAAACGTTGGTGGGCAGAGATCGAGTCCTTGAATGGGTGAACGCGTTTCGGCGGTTTGGCTTCACTAGGGCTCCGGTCTCCTTGGGCAAGTGACTTTGTTTGAATTGCTATTTGACTAGTTCTTAAAGAAAAACCTACTCGAGCTACGATGAATTATCCATTAAATGTCCGAGTGTTTTTTGGCTATTATGTTGCAAGTAGGTTATTCTATGTAATTCGCATAGTCTTTGTTTGAAGAAAATGCGCGTTTGCCAATCGCAAGAAGATTTATCGGCTTATGTTGTTGGAACGGCGTTATATCAAATATTTACGTGAACTGATTTGAATAGCCAATAGAAGACCGTATACCATCGGTATAAGGTCTCTGAGCCAATCACTGTGAAGACAAAAATAATTTGCTCAACATATTAACCAATTTATCCCTGTGGGTGCAATGCGGCCATTCTTGAATGTTTCGATTCTTTGCGAAAAGGTCATTAGTACCTTTATTGCAAATTTATTGATTGCTTAATACTTCAAACCGCCCCCGTGGTCTTGTGGTAGAGCGTCCGTCCGGCGAGCGATAGGTCCGGGGTTTGATCCCCGGCCGCGTCATACCAAAAGACGTTAAAGATGGTATTTGATGTTACCCTGTCTGGCGCTCGGCATTAGGGGCTAAAACAAGCACTGTTCGGCTCGGAGTCAGTATACTGTGTCTAAGTGGGGTATTCATGTTAAACTGCGGCATGGTATCTCAGTGAGCTAGCACTATAAATCGGCATCAGTCCGGACTAGTACAAGCAGCCACACACACACATACACGTGCATGCACGTCGCTATATAAGTGCAATAATCTTGGACGCGACGTTAAACCTAATTTCACCTCACCTCACCTTATTACTTCACAAAAACATTTCCATGACGTGATTGGAACGATTTTATTAACTTCCCCTTGCTGTTCACTTATTGACAGGCCGAATAGGCGGGAGGACGGAGACCCGGCAGCTTGACGCAGCAGATGGCACCAAGGACTTCTGGGACCTCGGGGGCGAGTGGGTCGGCAGGTAAGGTGGATGGGCGTTAGTCAATGTGCACATGGATCACTATACTATAAATGAGCCCATGTTAATATCACAAACTACTTAAATCATTTTGATGAAATGACTGAAACTAAACAATTAACCAGAATGTATTTGTATATTTGAGTCCTCGATGATTTGGGGATTGTGTCGTCATGTCCCTTGATTTCGTTGACTAAAAAAGGAGCCGATGCAAAAAATGGGTGATACCCGAGCTTCAGTCGTACCATGACGCTAAAAGTAGTTTACGATTCCTTGTGTTTCTATTTAAATTTCGTTTCCCAAAATTGTAAACGTCCTTGACCTTCATCACTTCCTGCTCACTTCCCACATCAAGCGGGGGCCATGGATGGCCCAGCCGTCTAAGGCGCCGCGATTCGCTGTGCAGAGTTGCGTCCCTTGGGCACGCCAGAAACCTATGATTGTGTGTTCGAATCCCGGTTCGCCGCGATTATGTTTCTAGGTTTGTTAGCACCATACCCGTGCTCGTGGGTTTCACCGAAGTGGTAAACGTCTGAGACCTGCATCACTTCGGGCTTTCCTCCCACATTGAGCTGACACCCCGTGATATAACTTGAATAATATTAAAAGCGGCGTTAAACCCAACTCACTCACTCACTCCCACATCAAGCCGATCCGCCCTGATATAACTAAAATACTCTTCAAAGCAGCAGAAAACATTTCAAGTTGGCGTGAACAGTTCCACCCAATAATAACATTATATCCACACAATGTATGCATGTTCCATCGTTCCTCCAGGTCTGGTGTCCTGCGCAGTGATAGTGCTGGAATATTCCATAAAATTCTACCCAACTCACCCAATCACTCGTTCTCCAGGCCGCAGACACACCTGCAGTATCTGCTGCAAAAGTTCCGCATGGACACCTTCAACCCCGTGGCCCCCCACACAGAGTCCCCCTTCACCCCTACCCCCAGACTTGCATGGAAGACGCGACTCGACGTCATACAATTCTCCTGGAAGGTAGGTGCAATGGTCTGAGATATTAATCCTTATTGAGATATTTAGTAGTTAGTTTTTAACAAAGACATGTCAGGTACATACCGCTTCTGGGTACATTCAAACAGACAGGCAAAGAAATAATACAAATGTCTCAATGCTGTGGTAGCAAATGGTCCCAGGCAATTTTTCATAATAGAACTAAGACATCTACCCAGGATAAACGGGGGTAATATTTTGTGTGTGTCTGTTTGTGTGTAGCTGGAACTATTTGTGGGTGAGATGAGGTGAAGTGAAATGTGGTTGAACGTCGCGCTCAAGATTATTGCTCTTGTATAGAGACATGCACGTGTGTGTGTGCGCGCGTTAGTCGGGACTAGTGCATGCCCGGTTTAACCTTTAGCCTGCTGAATTATTTTCACACTTCTTACCCCTGCCTGCTGGATTAATTTTAGCATAAGGCGCTCTAAAGAGGGTGGGTGATTTCAAACAGTCGGTGCCTCATTAAACAAGGGCCAATTGAAGAAATATTTTGCACATTTATTCCTGATAGAAAACTACACAGTACTATATAAAAATATCCTGATGTTTTCAATCATACCAATGTTAAGACCAAAGCGAACACAAAATTTGTAAATTTTCTTGAACTTACCTGAATTGCGTTATTGAAGGTGGTTTGCATTTCATGCTAGGAACCTTTTAATATCGTAACATTTGTGCAAATTGATTTCAATAATCATACCTCCGATATCTTAATTTTAATTGAGTAAAAATTCGGGTTTTTTTATCAGCAAATAACAGCGCGATGGTAAATTAGGAACCATTTCAGTGAATTTATTATCTAAACGTTAAACATAAAAATAACTTAATTTTCGAGGTCATCATGTCGGTTGCAGAAATACGAATATTCGGGTTAATCTGACGTGTCATGTTATAAAATTTGCAGGAAACAATTAATGACTTATAAATATTCACTAATCCTAATTTCAAGCGTTTTGGTTGAATATTTACGATATACAAAAATAAACAACCCGTGTCATGATGCTAGCAGACGTCCTAAAATCAAACATGGCGCGCTTCGCTCGATCTCCGCATATCTTACTGCTATTTTAACATCAACAAAGTTTACATTGCCTTTAAAAATATAACTTGGCGAAAGTTGACGATCTTCTCAATCGAAGAATGTTTTATTCGTCATATTCCAATAAATATGACGAGAGAAAAATGAAAATAAAGATCGTGAATTCTGACAGCACTATTTCAATAAGTGCATAGGTCACCGGATGTGATGTCACAGACAGGGGTAGTCTGCTGATAAGCTTTCGAAACAAAACAATTACAGTAAATTTTGAAATAGTTCGCCTATCACATACAGCAAAAACATAAGTCGATACACAGTATCAGTAATCGCCACTAACATGAAATAAAAATGTGACTTTGACGATATAATTCGCGTATTAGTTAATCCGTTTGACCTTGCATGCTCCCGTGACCCGGAAACGGTAGACGATAAATCAACATGCCACATGCAAGTTTCTCGGTATCTTTTATTTGAACTTCTGTTGATATTTAAGAATCACCATTCAATGTTGTGAATATAAATGGGACATGATTCATATTTCTGCGATGTAAACGCTGATAAGTTTCACTACAACAAGTGTATCCCACGTAATACGTCTATGGATATCGTCGATCAGCAAGATCACCCTCTTCAACAGGTGCGCGAAAATGGGCTTGACAAAACGTGTTTCAAAATAACATCCCCGCGTTGCTGAATATGATAGGGTATATATAAGCAATAAAATGCTACGTACATATTTTCGGTGTTAGTTCCACATTACATTTAGGATAGCTTCCTTTCGGGAATACATTCATAGATTCTAGCATGATTTTAGAACAGTTACACGAAGGATTTCTAAATTTATTCCAAAAATATGAAGACCACCAATGGCACCATGATGGCGTATTGATGATAGATTTGTAATTGTTTAATTATTTACAGCTGTTTACAGGTTTAAAAATTTTAAGTTATATTTAATACCGGTAGTTATTTTTCCCACAATGATGGTGTGTGGGGACAGTACATATTAGTCTTTGCATCAGCACAGTGTAACTGATCAAACTTCAATTATTATCTTTAGTTTAAACATATTTATTCAACAATTATTATCTTGCACTCTGAAAATCAACTATGTGAATAAGTAACTCTCTGATGTCATCATTTTAGTTTTAGTATTCCATGAATAATGAATAAATCAGATCCTTAACATATACATACTAAACTCATATGGACATTAATCTTGTGCATTATGTGGTTTGTTTCCAAATAAAACAATTCTAAAATAAAATTTAATAGGAATTAATTTAATTTAATTACAGTAACAGTACTTGTAACAGTACATGACATTTTTGTTTGTTTAATCACAAGAACCATGGTGGCACATGAGCTGGTAAGTTTGCCACAGGTTTCTTAGACAATGCTATCTCAGTCTTCTGGTTGGAATGAAAAGAAACATGCCTGTGTACATGTTTACCCTTGCCAGATGTATTTTTTCCAGTCAGCCAATCCATTACTTTTGTTCACCTTATGTGGCCTATTTTATACATACAGGTACTGCTTCCAACCTGTTTTTTCTTTGTATGCAATCACAGTATCACAACTTCCTTAGCTGGTGTGTATAAAAGTTCCCCTGTCATCATGAAAAAAGAATTATAAAGGAAAGTCATATTTTCATTCAAAAACATATCTGTCTTTCCTTGAATACTCTTTGTCTAAGTGCCAGAAATGTCAGTGTCATAAAAAAATTAAAAACAGATTTTCATAAGGACTTTTCTTAGGTAGACCTAGATCTAAGTCAAACCATGTGACAAGTTAGGTAGAATTATAACCTTATAAGCCCTCATTTCTGAGGTGTCCATATTTTAAACATTTTTAGGACTAAACGTGATCTGTGTAGATCTGCCTGTTTTGTTATGTAAAACAAATTCTTGTCTTAAAAAATGAGAAAAGGAATCATTCAGACGAATTTTTTTTATCCCATTGATTCACGAAAATCAGTTGAAATGTACAGTGGTGACTTTTGTACCCAAAATTTCTAGTAATTTGTTACCCAAATGGGTATGTGATTTTGTAGATCAACCTAGAATTATTTCAAAGATATACATTAATTTGGTGTCTTAAACTTAACATATCACTTTCCTATCAAAACAATTCATTCTAACTTAGGTTTAACCAACTTAACTGGCCTCTCCTTCAGTGACAAGACGTCAATTTTCTCTCAAAACTAAACAATCAATTTCAAGGATCACAGTCATAATCATATTTGGAACTTGATGAAATATTTTATTGTGTGTTCTGTTCATCTACATGAAAACATAAATATAATTATAGATCTATTTTCTTATTTTCTTAGGTACAAATTCACAAAGTATTTTGGGTACAATTTAATTTGTTTTGGGTACAAAATCACATATATAGGAGCCTAGAATCTATATATATTTACACTACCCTACCTCATTGTGTACCAAAATTTTATCGGTTCAGAGGACGGGAGGTTCTCAGAAAGTTTTCAACAACATCTTTAATATTTAAATTGTTCTTTTTGTAATGTTAGACCTATAACAATATTATGTTATTATTATGGCATATCAATACGTTGTATCGCTCTCCGTTGCGTTCGTTTTTAGAAAATATTTTAAAATTAATATCATCGAGCGTGAAATCCATTACGGTTTCGGATTTAGACTTGCACATTTGATGGCGACAATCACGAAGAAATATGAAACAAATAGGAGTAAAGACTGCTCTCCAGATCAATAAATAGTAAAGAGTTGACGAAAAATAGTAAATTATGTATTTTCTTTTGAATTTGAATCTATTTCGGAATTTCTTTATGATTGCTTACCAACTTTTGCATATTTTGCTTCCATGTGTCACATGCGGTACGTGCTTCCGGTTTCAGAAATCATAGCTAAAATTGCAAGTATTTTGATTATTTCTCATAAAATGCATTATTTTGCTATTGAATGGTTTACCTAGAATGTATATCAGTTCAGATTTTGCGTATCATCCAATATTTGTCATTTTTCGCAGTGTTTGTTGACTTTGTTCAACTCAACAAATCGCGAGTTAGGCCACGCCCAAACGTATCACTGACGTTTGTCAGCTGTTTGTCGGCTTGTCAATGTGTCGGAAAGTTTATCAAACGAAATCATTTGCAAACTCTTTAAAAATGAAATTCTTTTTACAAAGATTTATACATACGTGTCAATAATTCTAGAAAATTAAGTTACATGTAACAAAATGATTGTAATAGTCTAACGGGATAACTATGCATGTGGAGTTGTTTGTTTACCGCCGTTGCCATGATAGTACAAGTTTCATCCAATCGATGATGTTACGATTCAGATTGTTTTTGTTTACAATTAGTTACACCGAAAGTTGCTAATTTTTAGAAATTAAGGAACATGAGTGTTTTCCTTTCGCCAGCAAACAAAGAATTATGATCGAATAGGAAAAATGATGAAATTATAAAGAAAATATCGGACTGCATGCCGCTCAACGTGAAGTGCCAAAAGTCAACAATGGCCGTTTCTGGTAGTTGTGTGCCGAGAAGTTTGGCCGAAACATTTTTAACTCGCGATATTTTCTTTTTGAGGTAAATAAATGACTGAACGTTTTGATATTGAGCAAGCTGAGGATTTATGCATGTCATACGTAATTTAAATGTTACGCAAAGCCTTCTTGGTAAATAGATATGGCGAGTTTTATTTTGGGGTGTTGTTATGCTGTTTGCCTGTCGAATGGGTTCGACATCAGATGCACGGGGATGGACACCTCTGTCGAATGGGTTCGACGTTAGCGTGCAGAGCTTTAAAGTGCCGGCTCAATGAAACACAATGCTGTAGTTTAACATGGATACCGCACCCAGACACTGTATCCCGACTCCAAGCCGACCGACCCGTGAAGATCCTAGTTAGAACAGGTCTTCAGTAACCCATGCTTGTAAGGGGCGACTAACGGGATCGGGTAGCTAGGTTAGCTAAATTAGTTTATGTTTGTCATCGTTTCCCAGTTGCGTGGTTCGATGATCATGATATCAATCACTGAATTGTCTGGCCCAGATTCGATTATTTACATACCGCCGTCATATAGCTAGAATATTGCTGAGTGCGGCGTTAAACAGCAAACAAACAAAACAAGTAGTTGTTTTATCTGCTTAATGCCGAGCGCCATGCAGAGTAACAAGTACCATCGCTAACGTCACATGGTATGAGGGTCCCGGGGGGCGGTCAGGTAGCCCAGTGGTTAAAGCGTTCGCTCGTCACGCCGAAGACCCAGGTTCGATTCCCGACATGGGTACAATGTGTTAAGCCCATTTCTGGTGTCCCCCGCCGTGATATTGCTGGAATATTGCTAAAAGCGGCGTAAAACCATACTCACTCACTATGAGGGTCCCGGGGATCCAACACTTTCTTTGCAGAGGCTTTTATGCACTAGACCAGGGATTATTTGATAGCGCGTTTGTGACAAGATATCTCATGCATGTCGTAAGAGGTTCGGGCGGTTGGCTAATTGTGAGTCATCGTACCTCCATGGTGTCAAGCATCGAGGTTTCAATTCACAAACAATCCAGCGACGCCTTAATCTATAAAGAACGTTGCGACGTTACACTTATACACTTTTGCCGTTAGCAGTACGCGACCTGTTCTAAAAAGGAAATTAATGGAACTTTTGTCTGAACTCTAACGACTGCTTTGCTCCACTGATTTAGAACATCCTCAACACCTACTTTTGCTGTGTTCTGCGACTTCCTTTTATCCACATAACACGAAGATAGGGATATCTTTTCATATATTATATTATCAATTATGTTATTTTAATTATTCTGTGTTGCCATGGTAACAGCTGAAACGACTGAAGGGTCGCCTGTCACAGAGCGACATGAAGAACTCGGTGGAGGCGCTCAAGTGGGACGGCATCACGTTCGAGAAATATCGGGATGACAACTTGTGGACTGTAGGTACGACGCTTTACAACAGTTACTGAATAACTAAAACATCCCGCGAACACATGTGCTTAATTAATATTCCTAATATTCCTCACGAAAAGTGTGTTGCTATTCAAGTTAAAGTGGTTACAGTTCTGAAAGTTTTGGAGGTTAGAGGTGAGGTGAAATGGGGTTTTACGTCGCGTCCAAGATTATTGCACTTATATAGCGACGTGCATGTACGTGTGTGTGTTTGTGTGGCTGCTTGTACTAGTCCGGACTGATGCCGATTTATAGTGCTAGCTCGATGAGATACCATGCCGCAGTTTAACATGAATACCCCACTCAGACACAGTATACTGACTCCGAGCCGACCAGTCCTTGTTTTAGCCCCTTAATGCCGAGCGCCAGACAGGGTAACAATAAGTACCATCTTTAACGTCTTTTGGTATGACGCGGCCGGGGATCAAACCCCGGACCTTCCGCTCTTCGGGCGGACGCTCTACCACTAGACCACGGAGGCGGTCTTTGGAGGTTAGATATGACATGGATACTTGCACTCTTAAATTGGGGCATGGTGTCTCTCAGTGGGCTAGCAACGCCGGCATTAGCCCAGACTAGGAAGTAGCCCAGACATATAGGATCGAATTGGGGTGGTAAGTCTCATTGACTTGGTTGATTGCGAGCCATCGTACCCCGACGACGTTTGGCTTTGCTCATAATATCAATCAACGGTTTGCCTGTTTAGACTTGATCATTTACATGCCGCCGTCACACATATGTAATGTTGCTGAGTGCGGCTTTAAACAACAAATATAACAAACCAAAACGTCGAGCCAGGGTAGCTCGAGATGTCTTCCCTGGGAGTCACCCATTGTCCAACAATCTAGATATGGTGTGTTCTATAATGTTTAGTCTATATTCCACATCTCTGGCTATGATAAGTGTTGATTGCGTGGCGTCAAGCGCCGTGATCCAGTGAAAAGTCCTTGGGCTCTCACGGGTGAGTGAATAATTATAGGAAACTGATAATTTTGTTATGAATTAGTTTTTTTCCCCTTTTGGTTTAACTCAAATTGTGCTGTATTCTCGGGGTCTATTAATAAAAGACATGAAGTGTGCTTTCAAGATGCCCTGGATTCAAACCTTTATATCGGACATTTGGCTGTAACAGTGAGATGGAGATATTGACTTTGGCGCCGTATTGATGTCTGGATCAAGGTTTTGCGTTTCTTCTTTCAGAGGCCAAGAACCTTGTAGACGCGGCGTGTCGGTGTATGTTTGGTCTGTCCCCGGCAGAAATGACCCTGTTGTATTTCCTCATGTATATCAACTCGGCTGGAGGACTGAAAATATTCACCACACCGGCTGAGTTCACCGGCAGAGAAAGCAGGGTCAAGGTAGGCTCAGCAGATGGCCGCGCAATGTTTCGTGATGGGCATTTATTCACAGGTGTCCAAAATGTAAGCTATCCCTTCCTCTATGCATGCCATTTTCGAATGATCATCCAAAAGATATGTGCAGTCTCACATGCGTGATTGGGTTTGCCTGTACTACGCTTCAAGCAACATTCAGTTAGCTGCACCATGTTGGTAATCGAGCCAGGTTTTTAGGCATGGAATGGTTGAAAGGGGGACGTTCCAGTCTTGATTTGGACAATGTATGTAATGCCAAGTGTGAAACTGCTTACACCTTTACTGCTGGACCGCCTTAAGGGGTTAAAACAAGGCCTAGTCGACTCGAAGTGAGTATACTGTGTCTAAGTAGGGTACCCGCCTGGTAACTCAGTGGACGAGCACTATATATAAGACTGGCATAAGTCCGGACTTGTACAAGAAGCCGCACACCCATGCGTGCACGTAGCAATAATCTTAGCACGATGCTAAGCACTATCAACCTCATATTTACTGATGGATTGATCAGTATCATGAACTTTGGGCTACCATCCAGTGGTGTTGTAGGGATTCACCCTTAAACGACATGCTACCTCATATTTCCAATTGCCCTTATGGTTGTCGTCAGTCATTAAACAGCCATTCGCTTGATTAGTTGGTGAATTTAGTGCATGACTGTGTAGTGGTGAATCATTTTATCACTTACCCATTCAGTTTGAGAGTCTCGAACAAGTTCCAAACAATCACTGTATGAGCTAAATATTTTCCTGTATTGTTTGATGTATGTTTTCAGGGCGGAGTTCAGCAGCTGGCCACGCACATGATGCACAAGATCGGCAAGAGAAACGTGCACTTGAACCACCCAGTGACGCATATAGTTCAGGTAGAATAGTTATAATTGCATTCTGGTTAGTTGAAATGCAGTTGTTATAAAAGGAGGAGGAGATTTTGCAGACTCGTTTTTTGTTGTTGCCATGTTTATTTGATAAAACCGAACCAGGTTGATCAGAAATGATCATAGTTCGAGTTCCAGTTGGCTCTGATAACGTTTCTTGGTTTGTCAGCACCATGCCCAGCTCATGGGTTTCACTAAAGTGTTAAAGCCTAAAGCCTGCATCACTTTGGGCTTCCGCCCACATTATGCTGACACATCGTGATATAACTGTCTCTGCGGAATGTTCCAATGTGTCTTTGCAGAATGTATGAGTCCAACTCAAAAGTAAAATGGAATACTTTCAGGAAACGTATGACGGTGTGGTGACATGGGTTAGAATAAGTCCCGAGCACTCTATGGACTTGGTGACATGGGTGGTCAGGTTGTCAGGCTCAATGGGTGTCATTGTACACCGAAAGCGTGGGACGTAGCATATTTTCAGAGGGCTCCGATAGTGCTGAACTTGTGGCTCGTAAAAACCAAAGGATACATAAACATGCGAATCTGTTTGACTCACCACCAATTGCATATTTTGTAATTATGAATGATTCCCTTCTTTCAGTCTGGGGAGAAGGTTACTGTTGTAACCGAAAACCGCCTCCAGGTGCAGTGTAGCAGGGTCATCATGGCGATACCGCCACACCATGCAGGTGATTTAAGGGAACTTCATATCTCAACGTAGCCATGCAGTAAAGGCAATAAAAACACCCAGCTGAGTGCTTAAAGAATTATTTTGAAGTGTACATGTTTATGAGTTTTGACTGTACTGTATCAAAGTAACACATAGCCATATATAAATATGGATACGTAGATCATCGGATTCGTGGAGATTCCTGGTAAGAATATAAGCCATCTGCAACATATATGCTTGTAAGAGGCTGTTGAATGGATCGGGTTGTCAGACTGGTTGTCCTCTTGTCATCGTATCCAAATTGCGTTGGTCGACCCTCATGACGTCAATCATTGGATTGTCTGATCCATTACAATGTAGATATTGATTATTGATCAGATCGTCGTGACTGGGCACCGCCATTTTGTTTGAAGCAAATGCAAGGATATGAACTGAGGTGGAATCTGATTGGTCACTAGGAGGGACATAGAAGGGACATAACTCGTAATAGCCACAGGTGGCGCTACGATCGAGCCTGGAACTTTCAGGCTTGTTCGGCAAGGGTGGAGACTGGACTTTTATAGTCAGTTAACGCCCTTGCCTCGGGAAGATGAGGTGCGGCTAAACTGTGTCGAGAATGTCGATGTTAGATGTTGCCAGTGTTCGGCCATAACTAAGTCTATGGCACGTATACGGGACAATACAAAAGGTGGATCATTCATCTTGGGTTACGGTCTTACTGATCTGATGTTAGATTCTCTCTTGATTTGAAAAACATGTTTCACTCATTTAACCACACTTGAATTGTGTACATCACAGAGTCGTAAGTGCAGCGCTTGCACGGGATGGGACAAATCATGTCGTTATTCATAGGTCCTGTCCGATAACATCCATAACAGTATCCAGTGGCCCAAAAGTGCTCTTATACCTCATCCTTTACGCTTCAGCCAGAATCAAGTTCACGCCTCCCCTACCCTCTAGGAAAATAAACCTCCTGAACAGCGTGCCTCTAGCCTTCCTGGTCAAATTTGCGGTCACCTTCGAAGAGCCGTTCTGGAAGGACAGTGGGCCCGATAAGCGCCATTTTGGATTCCAAACGGTATTGGAGGACCCAGAACGTGGCCCGATAGGGATTGCGTATGATGCCACGTCTGCCAGAGGGAACCCAGCCCTCGCTGGCTTCCTGTCGTCTGCTTACGGCACAGAGGCTGATGTGAGTAAATGTTGTAAAAACTCGATTAATTCGGGCTCTACGTTCTTATGTGAAATAGGCCAATGTAATAGGTCGTGTATGGCGTAATGGCTTCATGTAGACGTGGGGGATACGGGTGGCCCAGTCGTCTAACGCGTCGCAATTCGCTGTGCAAAGTTGCGTCCTTTGGGCATACGAGAGATCGTGGATTCGAATTCCGATCCTCCCCGATTATGTTTCTAGGGTTTCAGTACCATTCCCGCTATCGTAGGTTTCGGTAAACGTTTGAGACCTGCCTCAATTCGGGCTTTCCTCCCACAGTGAGCTGACAGCCGTGGTGAAACTTGTATTCTGTCCTACTCATGTAGACATTCTTCTGGAGTGGCATGGAGAAAGGGTTTACGCCTTATATTAAGCTTATTTGATGCTAGTTACTTGATACGTTGACTTCATAGAAGTGTCCAAAGTTGAATAAACTCGCTCACACAAGAGTTTGATTCCGTCGATCTACACACCGGGAATAGGGTTTAGAATACGTCCCCATCATAATGAACCAGGCTACTGAAGTGGTGGAATTAGTGGTATGGCGCGGATTGGTAGCGTGTCATCGAACCCCAGCGAGGACCTTATTTACAGGCCACTGTCATATATAGTTGGAAAATTCATAATCTTAATAAATATTTTTGATGACCAAATGCATTTGAATCCATTTAATACATTAATGTGGATGTTATGTAATGTAATATCTGCAACAGCCTCGAAGACGACAGGACGCCATCATTGACCTCCTCGAGAGCGTCCTTGGTCCGAATGTCCGTCAGTATAAAGATTTCGTCCAGAAGGACTGGAGCAAGGAGCCGTATAACGGGGGATGCTTCCTCAAATCCCTCATCCCTGGAACCACCAAGTACTTCAATCAGGACCTTAGGGAGCCGTTTGAACGGTGAGTTGAAGTCCTAGGGCAAAATAGTCTCCAGGAAAAACATTTCCTTTAGTTGTAGGTATCTGACACTTGAATGGATACCCAGCATGAGACCTGTGAGCAGTCCAGGTAAGAATATAGGTCCCCAGCAACGTATGCTTGTAGTAAGAGAGTAGATGGATTATCTGGCCCAGACTCGATTATTTACACACTGTCGTTACATAACTGGAATAGTTCTGTGTATATGACGTATAACAACAAACAAACATGGCTACATAACGTCATATACGGCAGTTAAACACTGAAGGGGAGACTATGCTTTGGCAAATTGACATGATTTATTCAACAACCACACTTTGTTTGCCTGATTTACTCATTTTTTTTATGTCGTGCAGTCTCCTAGATGAGAGTACCATAATTATATAGTTTGACTCTATATTATCGCGGTATCGCTAAATCTCGTCATCCACACCCCCTGTCGACTGTTTACTTATGCAAATCTTAGCACGATATTTCATCGCTTGATCGAATACAGGACTCGTTGCGGTATGTCACGGCTACTCGTAAGTATACAGGTTAACTTTTTTATGATAGTTTCTGGAAATATGTTTTTGAAGTGGAATTACCCCTACCACCATTCGAAATTGATTAGAAAAGAAAACATTTGTTTGGACGAAGTCCCTTGACCCAACCTTGGTCTTATGCATACTGATTATTTATAATCCAAAAACAGGAGTGATCTAAAGCATGTATTCCACACTAATATACCACAAAAAAGCCATACCGCGATAATAAAGAGTTTCCCGCCCTCGAGTCGCTAATGCCAGGTACTTTGTTTACCGAACTCGGTCAAGATAATCAGCATCGATTAGTTCTTACTGGTAAAAGTTGAACAAAGAACAACAAACGTTTTGCGTATGACATATTTAATAGGTTAGTAAGTGTACGCCATTACGATACATTACAAATTAACTACCGCGATAATATAGCCTACCATGCTACAGGGGCAACGTTTCAATTTCACAAATGGTATTACTAAAGTCTATTATTGTCTGATTATTATGCTTTTAGATATATAAATGTAGTGTGGATTAACACTTCAGTTCAGCACAAAACTTCACTTCACCCTTTCAGGATCCATTTCGCTGGAACTGAGACAGCTACGATTTGGTGTGGGTTCATGAACGGTGCCATACAGTCAGGCTTCAGGGCAGCAACAGAGGTAACGACACATTTTCATCCTCCCGAGGATTGCCCAGCGGTCTTCACAGTTGTAATTCGCTGTGCAGAGTTCCATCCCTTAGTCATGCCAGGATGCAGTGATTGCGAGTCCAAGATGAGTTCTAATTACGACCCTTGGACTAGATGGCACCTTCCACAAAGCGATCTTAGCGCTAAGATTATCTTAACACCCATACTTTAACATGGGGTTATTACAATCGTAGTGCTAAGATCGGGATCAGGTGGTCAGGCTCGCTGACTTGGTTGATGCATGTTATCGTATCCCAAATGCGTAGACAGATGACCATGATGACAACCACTGGATTGTCTGGTCCAGACTCGATTATTCACAGACCGTCCCACACAGCTGGAGTATTGCTGAGTGCGGCGTTGAACAACAAACATAACTCTGAGAAGTGAATCACTTCCAGCTGCCATCCACGTGAAGCCTATAGGCTGTGTTATCACTGAAGTACTGTTCAATGCGGCGTCAACCCTTACTCGATGACTCATTGATCTAAAACAACCCATGGGCAAAATATGTTAGGCTTTGAGTTGTTTCATTACCGATATACTCTTCGATGTAGAAGGGAGTCGACAACCGATCGTTTCGTCATCATAACATACATGAGATATCATAAACAATAGTTTCTATGTAAAGCTATTTAAGCTAGCAATTCCTGCTGGTGTATCAAAATAATTTCAGAGCTTTAGATGACAAGGGAGCCATAGTCTCTTTGAAAACACAAATGAAGCTATACGTCTTAGCAAATTTAATTCTGTGCGTTACGTTGATAACGGAAATTGTCACTGAGAAGAATTGTGTCTTCAAAGAATATTCCTTTTCCAGGTATTGTATCATGTACGACCGCAGATAATTACCTCCCCTGATCCCGAGTCCCAGCGGTTTTTCGACGATGACGAGAACAGATTCGGCGATGACACGTACCTGCTTCGATGGATGTTGTTTGCAGCAGTTGGTGCAGGGTTTGCATCGGCTCTGTATGTAGTTCTCAAATCTGACAAAGGATTGACAAGGAATTTCATGGACAATATACGAATTGTATTTGACTGATTCACAGTATTTATTGGATGTTCATTTTCGAATATTCCTCATGTTGACATTTTGGACCAGTCATGAGACGCTTCCAGATCTGAAACCAGTGCTGTGAATTCTGGCGGGACGTGATAGTATCCATGGGAGGCGGTGTTTGCTTGGTGCTTGTTGAACCGCCTGTAAAATCCTTGACAGAAATCTTTACATGACATTTCTTTGTGTATTAAAAGATGCCATAAACATGCTCTTGCATTTTCCATGAGAATGATTTATGCTATGCAAGAGACGACATTCGTCTGTAGAAACCTTGATAACAAAAAATCATGCAATGCTAATGAATGGGGTGTGCAGTGTGGATTCGTAAATTTTGTTTAAAACATGACAGTATTTTACTAGGAGAGGTTGAGTATTGCCATTTTAATGCATGTCGCTGCCTGAAATAAACATGACATGATTACTATTTTTTCAACGTTATTGTGTATATGTCGAGTTTCAGATTGATGGTTATCATAACTTCGTCAGATCGTTTACTCTGATAAAAGGCCTGTGACGATACGGGGTAGAATAGGTCTTTAGCAACCCATGCTTGCCGTAAAAGGCGACTATGCTTGTCGTAAGAGGCGACTAACGGGATCGGGTGGTCAGGCTCGCTGACTTGGTTGAAACATGTCATCGATCCCAATTTCGTGAATCGATGTTCATGATATCAATCACTGGATTGTCTGGTCCAGACTCGAATATTTACAGACCGCCGTCATATAGCTGGAATACTTCTGAGTGCGGCGTAAAACAACCATCCAACCAACCAACTCCGATAAAATAGCTGTCTTTCAGAGAGGTTGGTTGTTTGGATGGTTTGTTTGTTTGTTGTTTAACGCCTGATTCCAGCTGAATGGACCAAACATGGATATTGATATCATGAGCATCGATCCACGCAATTGGGATCGATTACATGCATCAACCAAGTCAGCGAGCCTGACCACCCGATCCCGTTAGTCACTTCTTACGACAAGCTATGCGTGTAAAAGATTTGAGTTGAATGAGATTGACACAAAATACACGTGTTGGGGGATGTCTTCCGTTTAATACATTCCACCTTAATGTATCATCAACGTATTTAGTGGTGCGTAGATATCAGTGACGTCTCATATCATATGTAAATATTTCATGAGAGTTTCAAAAGAATAAATAGTTCGTGTAGCCAATATTGAATAACATTAAACGACATACACTCTACCATTGCAACTAACACAGCAGGCACATTGGATTCAAACAAACTATTAAGTATGGTGGTAATGCTGTTGTTATCTAAAAGATTCCTCTCTGCTGTCAGGGAAACTTTTAGACAGCGTAGTCTTGCAGAAGGAATCCATGTAGCATTATAATTCCGACCCGAATGTTTTTGCTACTTATATTTCTTATGATTGTGTGCCAAAGGGTTATTCGTCCATAGCCAGAATATCGAGTCACTGATAATCAAAATTGTTGAAGTATGAAAGTATTAACAAACAAAGGACAAACGAAATAAAAATGATTTCAAAAGTAATATTTTCGTTTTGTGTTGTGTAGTCAAAATGTGTGGAGGTATAGTTGTGAGCCATGGGATGAAAAGGCAACCTTACAGAAAACGATTAAGCTATCATATTATTCACTCATTATTGCGACCTTGCCATCATATTATTCACTCATTGACGATACTCTCAGAGAGGTATATGGGGCGGTCGGGTAGCCTTGTGGTTAAAGTGTTCGCTCGTCACGCCGAAGACCCGGGTTCGATTCCCGACATGGGTACAATGTGTCAAAACCCATTTCTGGTGTCCCCTGCGTGATATTGCTAAAAGCGGCGTAAAACCATACTCACTCAGAGAGGTATCGTATCGGAGTGAAAGATGTGATTGGGATTAGATTGTCAGATATGTATGGCTGACTGTATGTTGTTAAATGCACTAGACCCAATATTCATGTTATGTCATGGCGGCTTTTAAATAATGTAAATAATAAGTGGTTGATGTTATGTACAATGTCTGATGTCGCCAGGGTATGATGGTTCGCTATCAATCTGGCACCCGATCCAATTTCGTGCCTGGATACCTCTTCTGACCCGGGTCCCCGCCGGTTCAAACAGTACTGTAAAGCAGCGCATGCTGCGCTTGATTTATTACAACATGTCACTTTGGCAACGCTCACTGATGACTAAGATATCAACAGATGGGTAGACTCGCCTCATGCACGACACAACAGGAATACGATAACAGAAAAAAATTTCATGGACAAGTTTAACAAACCAAATATTTAAAATAACTAGAATTAAATAGACATATTTAATGTTGTGGTGAAAGATAGGTAAAAGTAATTTGTTGATGTTGGTTTACTAGGCTTGACTGGATTTAGGTAATTAGGTGATGTGAGTATGGAAGATCCCACTCTTGAATTCTTAAGGGATTACCAAAAACTGAACAAATATATATAGAGGACGTCTTTTATTTTACATGTTTGTACGAAAATTGTGTCCGTTCATACACTGTTACAAATAGTCCTTTTATACAGTGTTGCAAGTAAATAGAGCACTATCAATCATACATCTAGTTATAGTCTAGCTATCCCACACGTCAAGAAGATAGGTAACTCTGTCGGTATTGTCCATGACAGATAAGTGGCCATTGATGAGTCTGCCCTCAGCTCTCCACAGCTCCTGGTCGACAGCAACATCGCGACGTTTTTAGGTGGTTGTCTAGGGTGACCACACTGCTGGGCACGTTTCACATCGGTTGTGGATTGCTCGTGCTAAATCATTTTCACAAAATCAAAGATGTTGGGGTCGTTAGTTGCCAAAGAGTGCAGATTGTTATGCCACCCTTCGATGTTGTTGGTCCCATGTCCGCTGTTAGGAAAGTGGTTTCACTGCCCTTATCCCTGTGAACACGCTCTACCCAAGTAGTCCTCCCATGATAGTCCATCAACTTAGTAACAGTTTCCCTATGTAGACTATCGGCAATTGTAGCCAACCAAACATTGTCAGTTTGGTCAAGAGGTACAAGGGGAAGGGCCTCAGCTGTGGTAACGAGCTTCTGGGATTCTGATCTTCTTTGAAGAGAGTAAGAAGACCTAAATGTTGGACCTTCCTCCACAACGCCTGTGCAAAACGGAAAAAGCATCTTCTAAAAACCGCAATAGCAGCATTGGTTGCAGCCTTCTCAAAATGAGTCTGGAACACAAGGGGTTTCAGGTTAAAATGATGTGGTTCTGGTTCAACTTAATTAGCTGGAGGGCGGCTGTGTAGGAAGCTTCAGTCTTATTCGGTAGGACGCAGTAAACAAGAGGATACATGAAACCTTGATGTTCAGCAAGGAGGGTGTAAGTTTGACAAAACAACTTGTGGGAGGAGTAGAAAGTTCAATCAGCAAATACGGTTTCAGCTTCACGTAGATGGTCCAGATTTTCTCGAGACGAGAAGTTTGTCGTTGTCTCCTTGATCGGCGATAAGAAAGTTTTCACCAGCGTCAGTTGTTTTCCACTGGCCTAGATGGCATAGATGTAAGGCGCTTAAGGCAGCACGGCTTGTTTATGGTCAGTTAGTCTTGATAATACGGGCACCGACGGTTTGAATGGTACCCTTGCATTGCTGAATAGTACATTTTCAGTATCTCGTGCAGGGTCGTGCAACTGATTTAAGGAAGGCAACAGCCAGTGGATCGTGCTTTTAGTTTACATACTGTCATTTATATCCGTTTTGTTTATCAAATGAGTTAAATAAAATAATATAGTAAATAAGTCCCAGTTATTTTTAAAAAACCACAAACTATACACGAAGGAATACGTCGAAATGCAAAAGATTTTATGAGGTAATGCTGATGTAGCTGGGCGTGGAGTCATCCTTCAGATGTCATTCTAACTGTGACACCTTGTGAGGGTAACCTCTTTGGCGATGTGGGCAAGCGTCTGACCTCGGATAATAAGGTCTGTGGTTTGAATCCCATGCATCATGTGAATCGGCTCCGTCTCTTCGAAAACACTATTCTATCATGGTCGAGGGAGGCTATTAGCCATGCTCCACGTCTGACGACCATTCTCAGCCCAGAATCTCGACCCACAAAGAGATCTTAGCACTGTCTCAAATCAATGCGAGTTAATCACAGCTCTTACAGCGTTTTGTGGAACGAAGCCCAGAACTAGACGTAGTTAGTGCCGTGTGTGAAATAATTTTATGACACATTATTTTTGCGTAATTATGATAATTATTAACCACTTGATTGGTATACATTATAATATATTGCCTGTCAGAGTGAAAAAATGTTTTATTTCGGACTTACATAAAAATTGCTAGTAAGGCCACTTGGCAGAACCTAGTCCCTTTGATGTGTGAACCACATCTGCAACAGTGTGACATTGAATCAATTGTGTGCTTTCAGCGGGCATTCATTAGATCACCTATTGTCTCTGATATGAGCAGAATAGCTGCTAATGTTCTTTATTACAAGACAATTTACATTGTACGTTGGTAATTACACTGTGCTTTGAAGAATTACTGCACCTGGGTATTACGACAAGACTTCAAATGGATTACTATAGAATACACTACCGTTCAAAACGTTCCCAAGAAGACAGATATTTGAGGGATTATGTTGTCTTTGATTGATTCATACAGGCAGGTGTGTGTAAGCAGGGAGTCTGTGTGAGATAATAATTAACACATGTACTATGTTGTACGCTTTTGTTTGTTTGTATGTTGTTTAACGCCGCCGCACTCAGCAATATTCCAGCTGTATGATGGCGGTCTGTAAAATAATCGAGTCTGGACCAGACAATTCAGTGATTGACATCATCAGCATCGATCCACGCGATTGAGATCGATGACATGCATCAACCAAGTCAGCGAGCCTGACCACCCGATCCCGTTAGTTGCCTCTTGCGACAGGCATTGTCGCCTTTTACGGCAAGTATGGGTTGCTGAAGACCTATTCGACCCAGATCTTCACGCCTCATGTAAGCAATAAGATTGGAGTGAGTTGTGTTTTACGCCGCTATTATTCCAATCATATCACGTGGAATACCAAGCTTGTTTTCACGCCATGTACCTATATGGTCTTCGGCATGACAGACAAACGCTTTAACCGCTAGACTACCGAACTGCTGCGCGCTAGACTACCCAACTGCTGCGAAACACGAAAATGTGTACATGCACTAATGTACACGTAATTTCTAATGACATCAGAGCTATGGCAGTCAGCTAGTCGTTACTTTAACTCAGTTGTCTATTTATCACCTGAAGGTGAAACTCCTCCCTTGTATGTACTCCCTTAATTGTATGCCAACTCCGATAAATCTCTCTATGATACTTTGAGTCTGGCCTGCGTGACCAATGACATATTGTTCTAACGTTAGTTTAACGTATCATGACAGTGAAATGTTATAATTCCGATAAAGACTATACAAGAATCCTCTTGATATGAAGAAAACGTG